AGACATAACAGGAAGTGAAAGAAAATCGTATTGTTCAATGATGGGGACGAGCACAGAAAATAGGATGAACACCCTTTTTTCAGCAATGAAGACCACAATAAAACACATTTCTAGCATAGTGAAGAAGATTTAGACGCTCTATCAGGATCGTGTTGTCTGGGTCCCATGGGGGAGATTTATCCTCACTTCCTGTCCAGTTAATGGGCATAAGAAATAAAAGAAACAAATCCTCAGTAGGGATCCGCACAGTATTTAAAGCTTATCTCAAGGTTCTCCCCCTCTACCCCAAATCTCCCTCAGCCCCTGCACAGGAACAAAAATGATTGAATGGCCCGATTTGTGCAGCTGCCAGGAGTGAGGTTCTGCTGGGTGGGGACAGGAATTGTCAATCATTCTCGTTTCATTGTTGTCGTTTTTCAGCCACACTAACTATGTAACTATTAGTGAACTCAGTGTGGAGTTATTCACCCTGAGGTCATCACAGAGGACAAGGGGGCACTCATGTCTGGAGGAAAAGAGATTTAATCTCCAAACACGGAAAGGTTTCTTCACAGTGAGAGCTGTGAATCTGTGGAATAGACTCCCTCAAGAGTTGGTTCTGGCCAGCTCAGTGGATTGCTTCAAAAAATGCCTGGATTGTTTCTTAGATACACAGAATATAACTGGATACTAACATTTATAGGTAAAGTTGATCCAGGGAATATACAATTGCCTCTCGGGGGATCAGGAAGAAATTTTTTCCCCTGCAGGAGAAAATTGGATCATGCTTTGCTGTTTTTTTTGCCTTCCTCTGGATCAACTGTGGGTATGGGATTTTAATTTTTTTTTTTTTTGGCTGAACTAGGTGGACTTTTGTCTTTTTTTCAGCCAGACTAACTATGTAACTATTCTCACTCTGCATTTCCACTTAATCAGACAGTGCTGGCTTGATAATGTCAGGGCTTTTTGAGCTGAAAGTATTAGGCCCCTTTCACACTGCCGCGCATTTCCAGGGTGACAAAAGTTCATGAACACTATTCCCTATTAAATCCTATGTAACTGTTCATACTGCAGGTGTGCTGTGCTTTGAAAAGTCCTACATGCTGCATCTTTGGCGCAGTTTTTCAAAAGCGCACCAAAAAGGCACTGCTCATTGTAAGTCCATTGGAGTGCATCAGTGTGAAAGGAACCTTAAGGTGCACAAAAGTGCATCAGTAAAAAAGGGCCCTTCATGGGCATTGAGGAGACTGGTCACCCTGTACACAGAGTGCAGGCAAGGATGACTGGTCTGCTCCACAGGAAGTGCTGACATTCCATTGTGTGCAATTGGACTTTGAAAAAAGACTGAGGATGATGGAGGAGCATAAAGTGCCTTGAAAAAGTATTCATAGCCCTTGAAGTTTTTGACATGTTACAACCAAAAACGTAAATGTAATTTATTGGGATTTTATGTGATAGATCAACACAAAGTGGCACATATTTGTGAAGTGCAAGGAAAATGATAAATGGTTTTCAAAATTTTCTACAAATAAATATGTGAAAAGTGTGGTGTGCATTTGTATTCAGCCCCCCCAAGTCAATAGTTTGTATGACCACCTTTTGCTGCAATTACAGCTGCAAGTCTTTTTGGGGAGGTCTCTACCGGCTTTGCACATCTAGAGAAGGACATTTTTTCCCATTCTTCTTTGCAGAATAGCTCAAGCTCTGTCAGATTGGATGGGGAATGTCTGTGAACAGCAATTTTCAAGTCTTGCCACAGATTCTCAATGGGATTTAGGTCTGGACTTTGACTGGGCCATTCTAACACATGAATATGCTTTGATTTAAACCATTCCATTGTACCTCTGGCTGAATGTTTAGGATCGTTGTCCTGCTGGAAGGTAAACCTCCACCCAAGTCTCAAGTCTTTTGCAGACTCGAACAGGTTTTTTTCTAAGATTGCCCTGTATTTGGCTCCATCCGTCTTCCCATCGACCACCTTCCCTGTCCCTGCTGAAGAAAAGCATCCCCACAACATGATGCTGCCACCATCTTTCACGGTGGGGATGGTGTTTTGTGTTAGTTTTCTGACACACACAGCGTTTTTGCTTTTAGGCCAAAAAAGTTACATTTTGGTCTCATCTGACCAGAGCACCTTCTTCCACATGTTTGCTGTGTCCCCCACATGGTTTCTCGCAAACTGCAAACGGGACTCCTTATGGCTTTCTTCCAACAATTCTCCTTGCGACTCTTCCATAAAGGCCAGATTTGTGGAGTGCACGACTAATAGTTGTCCTGTGGACAGATTCTCCCACCTGAGCTGTGAATCTCTGCAGCTCCTCCAGAGTTACCATGGGCCTCTTGGCTGCTTCTCTGATTAATGTTCTCCTTGCCCGGTCTGTCAGTTTAGGTGGACTGCCATGTCGTGGTAGGTTTGCAGTTGTGCCATACTCTTTCCATTTTTGGATGATAGATTGAACAGTGCTCTGTGAGATGTTCAAAGCTTGGGATATTTTTTATAACCTAACCCTGCTTTAAACTTCTCCACAACTTTATCCCTGACCTGCTGGTGTGTTCCTTGGCCTTCACGATTCTTTTTGTTCACTAATGTTCCCTAACAAACCTCTGAGGGCTTCACAGAACATCTGTATTTATACTGAGATTAAATTACACACAGGAGGACTCTATTTACTAATTAGGTGATTTCTGAAGGCAATTGGTTCCACTAGATTTTACTTAGGGGTATCAGAGTAAAGGGGGCTGAATACATATGCATGCCACACTTTTCAGATATTTATTTGAACAAAATGTGAAAACCATTTTTTTATTTTTCCTTCCACTTCACAATTATGTGCCACTTTGTGTTGGTCTATCACATAAAATCCCAATAAAAATACATTTACGTTTTTAGTTGTAACATAACAAAATGTGGAACATTTCAAGGGTTAGGAATACTCTTTCAAGGCACTGTACCTGCAAACTAAAGGCACTACTTTAAAGTGGAATTAAACTTAAAAAAGAAAAAAAAAACCCTATTGATTTCCTCTGTCATAAACCCTTCTCCCTGCCGGTCAGTGTTTGTATACACCGAGCCATGCATGCACAGCTCAGCATATAGTTAGAGCCTATTCACACTTGTGCGACTTGTCATTCAACTTTGTGGTCCAAAGTCGCATGACAAGTCACTCCCCACATTTCCCAATGGGTACCATTCATATATGTGCGACTTCAAAGTAGTTCATGCACTACTTTGGTACGACTTTCATGCAACTTGAGTGCCAAAGGCTGCAATGAAAACCCTCAAGCGTTGTATGAAAATTGCACCTGTATGTTTCACATGCAACAGTCGTATTCAAGTTGCACCCATCCAAAAGTTGCACCAAAGTTGCACCCCAAAGTCATGCAAGTGTGAACAGAGCCTTATGGCACTGCTCTGTCCCATGATGATATGACTCCTATTCACATGCATGGGAGTGATATCATCGAGAGCTGGCAACCACGCACCCAAAAAAGTCAGAACCTGGAAGGAAGACTGGGAGATGGCAACAACCATGACCAATGGGATCATTATCCAGGTAAGCCTACCATATAGTGCGAAAAAGCTGTGCATACCAGCACATTGTGGCTGAAAGATCCTGGGCCCCAAATGTTTATATATTTCTATTTTTTTTTAAATTCTTCCCCAAGATGAGTTTTAAAACTTGGGAAAGACTCAAGGCCCAATTCACTCGGATGACTCCGGCATACAGCGAAATCCTGCAGCAGAAATCACAGGAATATGCAAACAGCTGCAGTCATGCACCCTGTACAAATCAATGACAGGCTGATTGTGGCTGCAGCCTTTCATATGTAGTTGCACATCGGAGACAGATGATGGCCTCTGGATGCAGACGGATTGTGTCCAAGGATGATCATCTGTCATTAATAGCAGGCATTTACAGTGGCTACTGGACAGCACAGTGGCTAAATGGCTAGCACTTCCCACTGGCAGTACTAGGGTCGTTGGTTCAAATCCCAACCACAGCACCACCTGCCTGGAATTTGCATGTTCTCCCTGTGCCTGCGTGGGTTTCCTCCGGGTACTCCAGTTTCCTCCTACACTCCTAAGACATGCTGGTAGGTTAATTGGCTCTTTCTAAATTGGCCCTAGTATGTGTATGTATGAATGTGAGTTAGGGACCTTAGATTGTACACCCCTTGAGAGTTAGGGACTGATGTGAATGTACAATATATATGTAAAGCACTGTGTAAATTGACAGTGCTATATGCTGGAAGTACCTGTAATAATAATAATTACTCTATGTGCGTTTACATGCATACAGCCGTGTCTGCTGTCGGCCTGTCATTCTTTTGTACAGGCTGCATGGCAGAAGCTGTTCACAGATGCCTGTAATTCCTGTTTTTTGCTGCAGGTTTCGGCTATGTCCCCCTAATCACCCGTATGAATGGGGTCTAACCTGCTCTGCTCTATTTAGAATTTAAAAAATCGTTTTAGACGGAGTTGGGCTGCAGAGATTGCAATGCAAATTCTAATACTGATCAATGCAAATTCTAATACTGACAATTTCTGATTGGCTCATCCATTGTGCATTTTGAACTGTAACTTTTTATAAGTCAATTTATTTGCTGCTTGGCCTTTCTGAATGAGCCGGGGTGTGGACTAAAGAGAGAGAATCCTTTGCTGGGAGCCCGAGCTCTGCTACAGTACTAAATGTTGGCCAACCAGGCTGAAATACTGCATCCACAATACTTAATACTGTCAGATAAAATGATTGGCCCTTCCACCAAACCTGCGGTCACGTCGGTGTGCTTCCAACTAGTCCACCTGATCCTCATCCAGGCATTGTCAGACAGCGAACCTCACAAAGCGCTCCAGAACACCATGAATGTAGGTGGACATGATACAGAATGGCTCATTCCTTGAAGTGTCAGGATTGTCAGATTTTTCAGGTTCTTTCTGGCCAACTGTGCAATCCCACGAGAAAGTTGTCAAGGTCCTATGTACGTGGGGTACAATGGCTGTACACAATGGGGGGGGGCTGTCAAGTAGCCCATGAGTGGTGCATAAAATGGATGTGTTTCTTGAGGGCCCAGCGGGAGAAGACGGCTTTCTCTGTGATGAAACGGTGCGCTCCTCGCGTGGCCCTTTCGTGCATCAAGTACGTGGTACATTCATCCAGCCTGCCCTTCTCATAGTAGTGGTAAGGCACCGGAGGGTGGGAGCGATCCCTGCAAGAACACCACAATCATTACCTTTCTTAACATGCAGCTAAAACCAAAAACCAATATATCATATATTGCAGCTAACAAATCTTTAGATGTGGTGGCTGCATTCGTTTTAGTTGTGTTACTAAACCCACAACAGCAGGTTCTCCCTGTGCCTGTGTGGGTTTCCTCCAGGTACTCTGGTTTCCTCCCACACTCCAAAGACATGCTGGTAGGTTAATTGGCTCCTGTCTAAATTGGCCCTAGTATGTGTATGTATGAATGTGAGTTAGGGACCTTAGATTGTACACCCCTTGAGGGTTAGGGACTGATGTGAATCTACAAATATATATGTAAAAGCGCTGCGTAAATTGATGGCGCTATACAAGTATCTGAAATAAGATCGTAAAATCAGTCTGTGAAGCATGCTTGTTATACTCACTGTAAAACCTAAGGGGTAAATCCTCCACATTGTGTAAATAGGCAGTTTGATCCTGACTTCTCTCATCCTCCCCTACTTTCAGTGTCCCCCTCTAATCTCCTGATAAGACATATCGTGTGGAGTCACTCTAGCAATACACACCAAATTGAGCGTGTGCAGAGAGGTTTTTTTTTTTTTTTTTCTTGGGAGAGTACATGTGATCAGTACAGGGCCAGTCAGCACTGTCCAGACAGAGGTAAAGGGTTCTGCATCCTCTTGAGCAAACTGAAAACTGCTCCTACAAGTTTTAACATGTGTTCTGCTGGACACTGATAGAAGCTCTAACTGCTGATGAGAAAAGGTATTTAGCAGTTTATATTTACTAAAATAATTGCATTTCCATGTTGTGTGAACTGTGGGAGACCAGATATAGTGAATGCAGGGTCCGGGGAGACCAGATATAGTGAATGCAGGGCAGGGGACCAGATCTAGTGAATCAGGGTCCGGGGAGACCAGATATAGTGAATGCGGGGTCCGGGGAGACCAGATATAGTGAATGCGGGGTCTGGGGAGACCAGATATAGTGAATGTAGGGTCCGGGGAGACCAGATAGTGAATGCAGGGTCTGGGGGAGACCAGATATAGTGAATGCAGGGTCCGGGGTTTAGTAACACTTTCAGGCTCTTTCCTTCCTATTTTCTCCTGGCAGTCCCATCAGTAATACACTTTCAGTCCTAGGGTGACAACACTCACTCACTGTACTATACAGTGGGGCAAAAAAGTATTTAGTCAGCCACCAATTGTGCAAATTCTCCCACTTAAAAAGATGAGAGAGGCCTGTAATTGGCATCATAGGTAGACCTCAACTATGAGAGACAAAATGAGAAAAAAAAATCCAGACAATCACATTGGCTGATTTGGAAAGAATTGATTTGCAAATTATGGTGGAAAATAAATATTTGGTCACCTACAAACAAGCAAGATTTCTGGCTCTCACAGACCTGTACCTTCTTCTTTAAGAGGCTCCTCTGTCCTGCACTCATTACCTGTATCAATGGCACCTGTTTGAACTTGTTATCAGTATAAAAGACACCTGTCCACAACCTCAAACAGTCACACTCCAAACTCCACTATGGTGAAGACCAAAGAGCTGTCGAAGGACACCAGAAACAAAAATCGTAGACCTGCACCAGGCTGGGAAGACTGAATCTACAATATGCAAGCAGCTTGGTGTGAACAAATCAACTGTGGGAGCAATAATTAGAAAATGGAAGACATACAAGACCACTGATAATCTCCCTCGATCTGGGGCTCCACGCAAGATCTCACCCCGTGGGGTCAAAATGATCACAAGAACGGTGCGCAAAAATCCCAGGATCACACGGGGGGACCTAGTGAATGACCTGCAGAGAGCTGGGACCAACGTAACAAAGGCTACCATCAGTAACACACTATGCCGCCAGGGACTCAGATCCTGCAGTGCCAGACGTGTCCCCCTGCTTAAGCCAGTACATGTCCGGGCCCGCCTGAAGTTTGCTAGAGAGCATTTGGATGACCCAGAAGAGGATTGGGAGAATGTCATATGGTCAGATGAAACCAAAATAGAACTGTTTGGTAGAAAACACAACTCGTCGTGTTTGGAGGAGAGAGAATGCTGAGTTGCATCCAAAGAACACCATACCTACTGTGAAGCATGGGGGTGGCAACATCATGCTTTGGGGCTGTTTCTCTGCAAAGGGACCAGGACGACTGATCCATGTACAGGACAGAATGAATGGGGCCATGTATCGTGAGATTTTGAGTGCAAACCTCCTTCCATCAGCAAGGGCATTGAAGATGAAACGTGGCTGGGTCTTCCAACATGACAATGATCCCAAACATACCGCCCGGGCAACGAAGGAGTGGCTTCGTAAGAAGCATTTCAAGGTCCTGGAGTGGCCTAGCCAGTCTCCAGATCTCAACCCCATAGAAAACCTTTGGAGGGAGTTGAAAGTCCGTGTTGCCCAGCGACAGCCCCAAAACATCACTGCTCTAGAGGAGATCTGCATGGAGGAATGGGCCAACATACCAGCAACAGTGTGTGCCAACCTTATGAAGACTTACAGGAAACGTTTGACCTCTGTCATTGCCAACAAAGGATATATAACAAAGTATTGAGATGAACTTTTCATATTGACCAAATACTTATTTTCCACCATAATTTGCAAATAAATTCTTTCCAAATCAGCCAATGTGATTGTCTGGATTTTTTTTCTCATTTTGTCTCTCATAGTTGAGGTCTACCTATGATGCCAATTACAGGCCTCTCTCATCTTTTTAAGTGGGAGAACTTGCACAATTGGTGGCTGACTAAATACTTTTTTGCCCCACTGTATGTATAGATTAACAGTTTTTGTTACCCCAGGACATGTTAGAACTACAGAACACCTCCCGCTCTCCTTATCTACACAACACACAAAGTGTATTACATTGCATCTTACCTGTCCTTAGATCAACAGGGTGCTGTGAACATGGGATGCAGTTTGCTGTGGATCAGCATCATGTGCTTCCAGGGTGCAGTCAGCCACCAGCACCATAGCAACCAGTGAAGCTGTAGGGCCAGGATGGACGGTGTCCTGCACACACCTCGGCAATGCATGGCACTGATCCAGGGTGGGCAGCATGCAGGGTCGTCCCCATCATTCCAGGACAAAGTGCACCTCCATCCAGACCTACTCTGCCTCCTGCCCTCTGCCATGCAGCTGGAGTATGGCTGAGCTCTGATAGGAAGAGGGGACTCTGTGATTGAGAACTCTGATGTAAGGGCCGGTTCACACCATAGAAATGCAGTCCGGATGCGTTTTTGTATGCGCATTTTTGATGCATTCTGGTTCATTTTTTCCCCTCTCTTTTTCTTCAAGGACATGTGCTTTCTGTGAGTTTTTGATGCATTCTGGTGCATTTTTGGTGCATTTTACTCTGTTCAGTTTAGTGCACAAAAAATGCAGCATGTTCTACTTTTTTTTTTTTCTGGAACTAGAATGCACTGGAACTCACTGCACTGGTGTGAACTATGCCATTGGAATCCATGTAACCTACTATCAATGCGTTTTTGATGCAGGAAAAAAATGCACTGGGCTGTATGTGGTGTAAACTAGCCCTAACCCCAGGTTCACATCTAAGCATTTTCCGCAGCGTTTTGCAGAAACGCACTACAGTCCAGTTAACATGATTTCCTATGTGACACGTTCACATCTCTGCATTTTCACCCGGTGCGTTTTTTGGAAAGGGTCAGGGACTTTTTTTTCAACGCAAAAAGTTGCGTTTTTGGTTCTATAGACTTCAGTAGAAACGCTGAATACGAACAGTATGCAGTGCGTTTTTGATGCGTTTTGCATTTTAAATCTGCCTAGCAACAAGAAAAAAAAACTAACGTGTCAAAAACGCATGTGCAAAAAAGCAAAATGCACTTCAGAAATGGATCAAACGCAAACTGCACAGGTGTGAACCTAGCCTTAGGGAGAATTTTATGATGGAGGGATGCTGCTGGTGTGATTGGGGTGGGGGACTCTGATGGGATAGGAAAGTGGGGAGACTCTGATGTGATGGGGGGACCTCTGATGTATAGTGCGGAATTCTATGGTGGAGGGATGCTGTTGATATGATTGGGATGGGGGGGGGGGGGCTCTGATGTGATAGGGTAGGGAAGTGGGGAGACTCTGATGTGATGGGGGGGACCTCTGATGTATAGTGCGCATTCTATGGTGGAGGGATGATGCTGTTGATATGATTGGGATGGGGGAGCTCTGATGTGATAGGGTAGGGAAGTGGGGAGACCCTGATGTGATGGGGGGGGACCTCTGTATGTATATGTGCATGTGTATTCTGATGTGATGGAGGGATGCTGTTGATATGATGTATTGGGATATGGGGGGGGGGATCTGATGTGCTCTAATAGGGTAGGGAAGTGGGGAGACTCTGATGTGATGGGGGGGGGGACCTCTGATGTATAGAGCGACTGTTGATATGATTGGGATTCTATGGTGGACCTCTGATGTATGATATTGGAGGGATGATATGATTTGGATGGCAAGTAACGTTTACCTGAGGGGAGACTCAAGGTTTTGAATCATTTTAAAGAGTGCTACAGCTAACAAAAAGGTTGAGAAATGTTGCCTTAGTTGTTGTGGCTGCATTAGTTTTCATTGTTAAGGTTTTCCTTCTCCTTTTTATCCTGATGATCCTGCCAGTAACACAGTTTCTGTCCTAGGGATACAACACTTTATTATTGTACTGTATCTATGGAGGAGCAGCATTGTCACCCCAGGACAGGAAGAGCGTTAGAACTGCAGAACACCTCCCCCTCGCATCTCCAAAACAGGGGGCAGAAGCAGGGTCGGTGCTTCCACTAGGCAAACTAGGAAGCCACCTAGGGTGCACTGTCACCTAGGGACACAGCACAGACCGGAACTCTGTGTGTGGGATGTTGCCATGTCATGAATGATCCTTTAGTTAACCACTTGCCGTCCGCCTACTGTTTTTAAACGGCAGGACGGTGGCACTCCAGGGGCGGGTTGCTGTTCATAAACGGCACCCGCTATTTCTAGTTGTGCGCGCTCCCTGG